TGAAGTTTTAAAAGTGATGATACCGTAGGTGAAGCCCTAAATTACAAACGAGGACATTTTAAAACCAGCTACTTTTTCCAATTATCTGGGAAGCACTAAACTCAATGTTCAAGAATCCTTCCAACAGCTGAGCACTTCACCAGTCCTTCCAGATAAGGGAAACTTGGCTAACTTGGTTAATACAGGATTTCAATAATTTTTCTTTACATTTTACAAAAGCTTTCAAAAATCCTCTTTAATATTGTTTTGGAGCTTATCTGCTCAACTGCAGAGCTATAGCAAAGTCATTGAGTCTGAATCTGAGCACAGATTTATGTGAAAATCTTACCACTCCAAAGAGTAGACATTTTGTAAGTTAAGATATTTACATAAGAACGGCCACACTGGGTCAGACCAAAGGTCCATCTAGCTCAGTATCCTGTCTTCCGACAACAACCAATGCCAGGTGACCCAGAGGGAATGAACAGAACCTAAGGTAAGGTAATCATCAAGTGATCCATTCCCTGTTGCCCATTCCCAGCGTCCGGCAAACAGAGGCTAGGGACACCATCCCTGCCCATCCTGGCTAACAGCCATTGATAGACATATCCTCCATGAACTTATTAAGCTAGATGCTTTGAGCCTAACTTGTTTAAGTTAAAAGGGAAAAAAAGAATTCTCCAGAATTGCTTTTCTATTAAAAAAATAGAAATTGTTGTATATTGTTGCTTTTTATGCTGCTCTGCACTGTGTGAAGGAGTGTACTACTCCTTTAAGGGACACTCCAGAGCCTAACCAAGGAGACCTTGCCTTGGCCTAGGATTATATAAACAGGAAGAGGAAGCTGAGTGAGAGAGAGGGTAGTAGAAGCCATGTAGGCTGCAGTATGTAGTGGTTGTTTTCTCTCAGGCTCTAGGAGACCAGCCTAACCAAAGGCTTTTTTGTTAGTGTGTGTTGGCTTCTTTCCCCAAGACTGTGCTGGGACTTCCCACACCTTTACACCTTGTTTAAAAACAAATGTTTTGAGAATGTAGTGCACACAAAAAGTACCATAAAGAGATCCCTAGAGACTTAAAGCCTTCAGACATAGAACAGGTACAGCAAAGGCAGCAGTGCAAGTGTGCTCCTCTAATGTTCATAAACCCAAACTTGGAAGGGCAACTTCTGAGAGGGATACAGGACAATTCAAGGATGAGAAATATGTTGTGATGTAGACACGTGACCATGGAAATCAAACCCATTGAACATAAAACACCAGTCAAATGGTAACATTTGGTAACTACTACCACCACCACAGCAGCTGGATTTGAGCATTTGTACTATATATGAAGTTGGGATGTTCAATGGAGTTTTAGCCTAATTTCTATTAGCCACTCAAACAAATTGAATATGAATCTTTAGGAAGGGGAGTTATGATCAGAAATGAACGAATCTTAGACCAGACCTGGAAAGAAGTTCCTTTTTTAATAGGTAAACCATAATGTGCGTTTTCCCTTCTCCTTCATGCTTCTGATAAGGATTAGAAGCAGAAGATTCAATACTATGAAAAAGTGGAGTTCTTATTTCATTTCCAACCTGGCAAAACAAGGAGTTAGTGAAATTTTCACAAAGCACACAAAAAGGCAGTTCTTGTAAGATTTCCAGACCAAATAAATTTGGATAAGTATCTGAGCCAAACTCTTCCTCACAGCTCTTCCCCTTTGTTCCTGCCCCAGCAGAAGTGTCCATGAAATTGATCAGAATCATTATTTCTGAAGTGTGCTGTACTGGCAATTCAGAGAACAGGATTCTAGTCAGTGGTGAGCTGGAGCCGGATTGCGCAAACCAGTTGTTAAATTTTGAAGCAGTTTTAGAACCGGTTGTTAACCCGCTTCCCTGCAGGGGGCGCTGAGGCTTTGATGGGCTCCGGCCGGGGTGTGATGTAATTCCTCCTCCGGCCCCGGGGGCGCTGCGCTGTGGGAGCCATGTGGGCTGCCGCCTAGCTCTGGGCACGAGCCCTGTTGCTGCTCCTGCTCCCCTGGGGCTCCCGCTGCTGCCTGGTGGGTCCCCGGCTGCTCTGCTGGGCCTGGGCTGTGTCCTGCTGCTCTCCCCGTGAGTACCCACCACCCTGCCGGCAGCCAGCCCCTGCCTCCAGCCACCCCCGCACCCCCTGCCTGCAGCCAGCCCCTGCCTCCAGCCCCTGCCCCACCCCCTGCCTGCAGCCAGCCCCTGCTGCACCCCCTGCCCTGCCCACACCAGCCCATCTCCAGCCACCCCCGCACCCCCTGCCCTGTATCCAGCCAGCCCGTCTCCAGCCACCCCCGCACCCACTGCCCGTCTCCAGCCACCCCTGCACCCTCTGCCTGCAGCCAACCCCTGTCTCCAGCCAGCCCTGCACCCCCCTGCCTTGCCTGCAGCTAGCCCCTACCTCCAGTCAGCCCCTGCCCTGTCTCCAGCCAACCCCACACCCTCCTGTCTCCAGCCAGCTCCGCACCCGCTGCCCTGCCCGCAGTGAGCCCCGCACCCCCTGCTTCCAGCTAGCCCTGCCCCACGCCCCTGGCTGCAACTGGCTCCACATCCACTGGTGCCCTGCAGTTCCCAGGGCAGTAACCCTGCACACCTGCTTCAATGAGGGGGGCATGGAGCAGCTGGGACCCACACATGTGCACACCCTAGGGTGACCAGACAGCAAGTGTGAAAAATCAGGACAGGGGGTGGGGGATAATAGGAGCCTATATAAGAAAAAGACCCCAAAATCGGGACTGTCCCTATAAAATCGGGATATCTGGTCACCCTAGCAAACCCCCAGGGAGTGGCGGGGACCCACACATGTGAAACGGAGCTCATTTCTAGTTCAGGCCCATCTTTTTAAAAAAGAACTTTAGGCAGGGTTAACATACATCCGTATTTTCCCAGACAGGTCAGGCTTTTTGGTTCTTAAATCGCCATCCGGGAGGAATTTTTAAATTTTAAAAATGGTAACCCAGTTGGTACAAAAAATACATACTGGGGCACATCCCTTAAATCAGAACTTTTTATAGGGAACCGGCTGTTAAGATTTTGGCAGCTCATCACTGATTCTAGTCAATTTCACTGCCATTCTGCTGCTACTGTACTTACTGTGAAGTGGCTGAAATTCAAAGCGACACTGGAAGTGTACATCCTGTGCACAACTTTATTTGAATCACACCAGTGTTGTGTGAACAGAACCTTATATTTTAAAATGCATAATCTTCATGATACGCAACTGGGAGTGCTGAAGGAGCTTTCAGGTTCATATAAATAATAAACGTATAATTTGTTTTCCTTTTTTAAGTGTCTTTACATTCTCTTGAGATAACTCTCTAGAATAACTCCTTTGGATGCAAGAGTCTCAGCACACATTAATACATCTTTAATTGACGCGAAGATGCTTTAAATACAAAGCTACTTAAAAGCAATCTGTGTCTACTGCCACCACAGGAAGACAGAATATACTATATTCATTTCTGATGTAATTCCACTGACTGCACTGGTGGAATTGAGCCCAGTATATTAAAATTCTGTGGTATATATTAAGGCTTTAAATTAAACCCATCACATACATAAAAATAAAAATTTATAGATAAAACTCTTATTAATTTCATCACACCTAAGCATGTAGTAGTTATTAGAGTGGGTGACAAGAGTGCTGTAAAAATCTAAAAGCATAATGAAGTGTTATGAGACTTACGAGAAATTCCTATCCTGAAGTTAAATCAGGCTTTTTTTCCCCCCCGATAGCACTGAGGTAATAGGTAATTTCAATGTAATCATAATACTGCTTAAATGGGGGGGAAAAAAACCCACAAATCCAGTTTGAAAATTATTTGTTCAGCTATTTTTAAAATTTTACCTTCCCCTCAATACTTACACAGTCTGAGAAAGTGATATATTTAAATATAATTAGAAATTCATGCTGAAAATAAACTTCTATGTATTGTATATCTTCTTATCCTACAATAATGTGTATCTGCTACTATGACTAAGCTTTTGTTTCTCAAAGTTCTGGTAACCTTTGCAGCAGGGGAGTTAAAATCAGTGCAAGACAGAAAGGTTTGATGGTGTGCCAATGTACAATGGAAGGGAATTCAATAAGCTGCAGAGACAGTAGGCTTTTATCAGACACATTGAAAAGTGGTGGTGGCTACATGTCAATGCTGGACCAGAGTGTGTTACTGCAGAGCGCGACGGAGTGTTTTCCCCACGGGCAATACACTATTATTGACTCCCCCCATTAACATGTAGGGTGGATATACATTTATTGAAGGTTCTAATGGAAGGCTGAGGGACTCCTATCCTGAGGCCAGAACAGAAAGACAGCCTATCACTTCATGTAATGGTAGCCCATGTGTGACAGACCTGACCTACATTTCCCCCCTTTCTTTATCACAACAGCCTGTCGCTGTTTTAAGAAGCTATTTTCTGAGATGTAAAAAAGAAATGCATGCTGGAGCTGCCTAGTTAATGTGTTTTACTGGAATATTATTTATAAACCTGCTTCATAAAGAGTAATTGTACTAGAGATTATTTATGAAAGCTATCCTAAAATACACACACCCAAAAAAAGAATGTGCCTTAATAAGTCTGAAGTGTTTATAAAGCCATATGATATACTGTATCTTAGACATAAATTACTCAGTACCTATATCTAAACTGCTTCAACAAAATATAGTGCTGGCCATAACTTGAAGTAGTTAAGAAAATTTACTGAAACTGCTGCAATAAGAATGGCTAAACTACATAATTACAGTCTAAATTCCATATTTATTAAAATGATTAGAAGTACCACTACCTAATGCCTCACTGGAAGTAATTCAATGGTTTTACTGGTTAATGTATGTGTATTTATCAGTATCAATAACATATCCAAATATGAAAGCAGGATAAGAGCAAATAAAACATTTGGTTCAGAAACAAAAAGCTTTTAAAAATACTATCTAACTACTATTCCAGCCCCTGCATTTAAGAGCTGTTGCCACTACTTTGCCACTTCAGCCAGCTCTCCCTCGGCAGGAACCTACCACGGCGCTGTAGGTCATACTCTTTTTTTGTCTCTTCGTTCCCTAGAATTTTCCACGCTTGATCAATTTCGATGAACCTCTGCACACGCTCCTCCACCTCTCCTGCTGGCACATCTGCGCTCTGTTTGTCTGGATGATACTGCCAATCAAGAGGAAGGGGGGAGAAGGGGGGGGGGGGGGACAGACAAATCAATAGTAAATCTGATATTCATTTAAAGGTGGGGGGGAGGAGGAGGTCTGAACCCAGGAAAAGGAGATGACAATGTTGGGTACAGGAGATAACTGCCAGGTTAATTAGACCACTGGAATAGCAGCAAATCCACCAGTGGCACAAAATGTCACAATGTGCACTGACAACATTTTCTGGATAATTTGCTAAAGGAATCATGGGTCTTATGGACAATTTACCTAGAGAGAATGACTAATACAAACAGAAAGAGGTACATGCAGAGGAATATGACATGGGAACAAGGGGAAATGCTTTAGGTGCAAGCTGCTTTTATTTAACACTACATCTGGCTACATTTAAAAAATGGGACCACTGTTTAGTTACAGACTAATCACAAATAAATTGAATGCTTTATTATAGATGTACCTGGTTTTTGTACTTTAAATAGTAAAAAAAAAAAAATGTAAGATCAAATATAATTTACAATAAATAAAATTCTATTTTGAAGCTATGCCTTAACATATTTAATTTTTTTCAGTTCAGTGAATCAATAGCTTTTCCAAATATTTAATGTCATGGATCACTGGCTACAAAATTGTGTCATTTTAGTTAAATAGTTATTTGAGGACAAGGCTATAAGATAAATCATGCATAAAGGCAAAATATAAAACGAAAACACTTAAAAAACGTCTGGCCTCCTCATGTTAAATAGCACATGTTCCTTTTTTTGTTCCAATGTCTATTGAAAAATAGCTCATTGAATTCTCTTTTTTGTTCTTTGTATAAGTTCTCATCTCATTTGTAAGGAATATATAATTTTTTGATATTTTAATTGTTCATATAGAACCAACAGAAGAAAAACAACAGGAAAGAATTGGTAGGCTGGTGATGGGGGGAATGGGACAAAGGTTACAACACTGTAAGAATGCTGTTAATTCATTATATTTCAAAATATTCCATATTCACTTATTTTCTCTATATCAGGAATATTAATTTCTGCCGTACACTAACATTAGTTTCGTTACCTGAATCTACTGTAGATATTTAGACCTGGAGGGCCTGTATCACAAGTGAACACTGCATTAGAGAGAGTGGAATTCTGAACAAATATTTCCAGTTATAGTTTGTTTTGGAAGAGGAGAATACTGTTACCATGTGACCTTAGAACAACTGCCTCCCCCTCCTTCACAGACAATCATACACTAAGAATTCAAAATGAACATTGCTACTAGAGTCTGCCCACTCATACACATATCTATCCTTTGTATTGATGCGAATTATCTCGATAACGTCCCTCCTCCCCACTCTTCAATGCAACAATGGGAGAAAAGACCACAAGGGCAAAATGTTCCCCATCTCTGAGCTCAATTGTTTTCACATTCACTTTTCTACACACAACTGATTGTGCCTGCAAAAGTGGCTGTTCACCCAAACCATAAATTCAAGAAGGTAATGTGCATAAATGCAGGATTTTGCTGTGTGGAATGTGTGCATTCCTTTGCAGTTAGCTGTACATTCAAAACTAGAGGCTGGCTTGAAGCTTGCTGAAAATATGGTCCAGGTATAGTTACAGTCCATATATGATTATTTTATAGAATGTATATTTTCAGTAAAAATTAGGGCTGTTGATTAATCGCCGTTAACTCACACAATTAACTCAAAAAAATTAATTGCGATTCAAAAAAACTAATGTGATTAATCAGTTTTAATCACACTGTTAAACAATACCAATTGAAATGTATTTAGTATTTTGGATGTTTTTCTACATTTTCATATATATTGTATTCTGTGTTGTAATTGAAATAAAAGTGTATATTTTTGATTACAAATATTTGCACTGTAAAAGTGATAAACAAAAGAAATAGTATTTTTCAATTCACCTCATACAAGTACTGTAGTGCAATCTCTTTGTCCTGAAAGTGCAGCTTACAAATGTAGATTTTTTTTGTTACACTCAAACCAAAACACTGTAAAACTTCAGAGCCTACAAGTTCACTCAGTCCTACTTCTTGTTCAGCCAATCGCTCAAACAAGTTTGTTTACATTTACAGGAGATAATGCTGCCCTCTTCTTATTTACAATGTCACCAGAAAGTGAGAACAGTAATTTGCATGGCATTTTTGTAGCCAGCATTGCAGGGTATTTACATGCCAGATATGCTAAACATTCATATGCCCCTTCATGCTTCAGCCACCATTCCAGACGACATGTTTCCATGGTGATGATGCTCGTTAAAAAAATAATGTGTTAATTAAATTTGTGACTGAACTCCTTGGGGGAGAATTGTATTTCCCCTGCTCTGTTCTACCCGCATTCTGCCATGTATTTCATGTTATAGCAGTCTCGGATGATGACCCACCACATGTTGTTCGTTTTAAGAACACTTTCACAAAATGCAAAGAAGGTACCAATGTGAGATTTCTAAAAATAGCTACAGCACTTGACCCAACATTTAAGAATCTGAAGTGCCTTCCAAAATCTGAGAGGGACAAGATGTTGAGCATGTTTTCAGAAGTCTTAAAAGAGCAACACTCCGATGCGGAAACTACAGAACCAGAACCATCAAAAAAGAAAATCAACCTTCTGCTGGTGGCATCTGACTCAGATGATGAAAGTGAACATGCAGCAGTCTGCCCTGCTTTGGATTGTTACCAAGTAGAACCCGTCATCAGCATGGATGCATGTCTCCTGGAATGGTAGTTGAAGCATGAAGGCACATATGAATCTTTAGCACATCTGGCACGTAAATAGCTGGCTACAACCGTGCCATGAGAATGCCTGTTCTCACTTTCAGGTGACATTGTAAATAAGAAGCGGGCAGCATTATCTCCTGCAAATGTAAACAAACTTGTTTATCTGCACGATTGGCTGAACAAGAAGTAGGACTGAGTGAACTTGCAGGCTCCAAAATTTTATATTGTTTTATTTTTGAATGTAGGTTTTTTTGTACATAATTCTACATTTGTAAGTTCAACTTTCATGATAAAGAGACTGCACTAAAATACTTGTATTAGATGAACTGAAAAATACTATTTCTTTTGTTTTTTTACAGTGGAAATACTTATCAAAAATAAATATAAAGTAAGCACTGTACACTTATGTATCTGTGTTGTAACTGAAATCAATATATTTGAAAATGTAGAAAACATCTAATAATATTTAAATAAATGGTATTCTCTTGTTTAATGGTGCAATTAATATTTTTAATCACTTGACAGCTCTAGTAAAAAATCAAAAATAGAACAAGGTTACACTACGTTACACTATTTTTCTTTTTGGAAAATAAATGGAGGCCAAAATTTTCAAAGTTAGACATACAAATTGGAAGATTTTTACCATAACATATAGTGACCAAATACAAACTTAAATATGAATGCTGCTACATAAACCAACAAGAAAAGGGACAATTACCATTACGTTCCATGTTTAAACCAGGAGGTGATGGGTGAAGGTTTATACCATTGCATGGTACAGAGCATGTCATTGTAATTTATTAGTCCTTGTCCTTAGTCAGATTACCTATGAATCTTTGCCAATGTCCAATTGTGTTTCAGCCTCAGCAGTATTTCTTCAAGATAGTAGCTGATTATGTGCATTGTTTTGATGACCTTTTAATTGAAATGGTCACATTAAATAAAGGTAAAGGTGGTGGAGTAGCACTGTATATCAATGATGAGATAGAATGTAAAGAAATAAGAAGCGATGAAATGGATATGACTGAGTCCGTCTGGGCAAAAATTAAATTGGGGAAGAAAACTATTAGAGCCTCCCTGGGATAGTGCTTGGGGTCTGCTATAGACCACCGGGATCTAATTTGGATATGGATAGAGCCCTTTTTAATGTTTTTAAAAAAGTAAATACTAATGGAAACTGTGTGATCATGGGAGACTTTAACTTCCCAGATATAGACTGGAGGACGAGTGCTAGTAATAATAATAGGGCTCAGATTTTCCTAGATGCGATAGCTGATGGATGCCTTCAGCAAGTAGTTGCTGAACCGACTAGAGGGGATGCCATTTTAGATTTGGTTTTGGTGAGTAGTGAGGACCTCATAGAAGAAATGGTTGTAGGGGATAATCTTGGCTCAAGTGATCATGAGCTAATTCAGTTCAAACTGAACGGAAGGATTAATAAAAATAAAACTGCAGCTAGGGTTTTTGATTTCAAAAGGCTGACTTTCAAAAAATTAAGGAAATTAGTTAGGGAAGTGGATTGGACTGAAGAATTTATGGATCTAAAGGTAGAGGAGGCCTGGGATTATTTTAAATCAAAGCTGCAGAAGCAATCGGAAGCCTGCATCCCAAGTAAGGGGAAAAGAATCATAGGCAGGAGTTGTAGACCAAGCTGGATGAGCAAGCATCTCAGAGAGGTGATTAAGAAAAAGCAGAAAGCATATAGGGAGTGGAACAAGGGAGGGATCAGCAAGGAAAGCTACCTTATTGAGGTCAGAACATGTAGGGATAAAGTGAGACAGGCTAAAAATCAAGTAGAGTTCGACCTTGCAAAGGGAATTAAAACCAATAGTAAAAGGTTCTATAGTCATATAAATAAGAAGAAAACAAAGAAAGAAGTGGGACCACTAAACACTGAGGATGGAGTGGAGGTCAAGGATAATCTAGGCATGGCCCAATATCTAAACAAATACTTTGCCTCAGTCTTCAATAAGACTAAAGAGGATCTTAGGGATAATGGTAGCATGACAAATGGGAATGAGGATATGAAGGTAGACATCACCATATTTGAGGTAGAAGCGAAACTCGAACAGCTTAATGGGACTAAATCGGGGGGCCCAGATAATCTTCATCCAAGAATATTAAAGGAACTGGCACATGAAATTGCAAGCCCATTAGCAAGAATTTTTAATCAATCTGTAAACTCAGGGGTTGTACCGTATGATTGGAGAATTGCTAACATAGTTCCTATTTTTAAGAAAGGGAAAAAAAGTGAGCCGGGTAATTATAGGCCTGTTA